GGGCTTTGCCTGGGTCAAGAAAGCCATGTGAAACAGCTCGTCTTGCCCCAGAAAGGGAAGTCTGCGGGTACAAGGAGAATGGCCTGACCCAGGGAGAGGGTGGGCTGTGCCACCCCCACCCCCACCCCACCCCCGCAGCCCCACTATTTCTGCATGTCACACTGCAAGAGGAGCACAATGGAGGGGTCACTCTTGGCAGCCTCCTTGAACTCATCCAGACTGATCTGGTCATCTTTGTCCTTGTCCATCTTGGTGAAGATCTTGTCCACGCGCTGCTGGGGGGTCAGGCCGTCCTGGTTCATCCGCATCATGATCACCGTCCCCACCATCTTGTAGATTGCCTGAAACACAGGAGGATGAAATGGGAGGCATGCAAAGAGAGGATGCTTTGCGCTCTCTCTCTCTCTCTCTCCATCTCTCTCTCTCATCCACCCTCAACGGCTCCCCAGGCCACCTGGGGCAAACCCCCTGGGGTTTTGGAGCCGAGGGATGGCCCACACGCAGGGGGCGGCTCTGTCCTGGGAGAGGTGGGCACCATGGCGATCGTCCAGGCATCCCACCGATGGGGCTACCTGCCTTTCTTTGTACAAAAGCCCCCCAGGTGGGCACATGGATCAACAAGGCAAATGGGCAGCATCTTTTCTTAAAGAGCAACTCCATTTGTGCATGATATTTTAAGTCCTCCAGAACAAAGTGGAAATGAGGCTGGGGAGAAGAGAAGCATCTAAGTCCAAAGGATTGGTTTAAATCATAAGCTCCGTCATCAAACTCAGTCCTAAGACAGACCGACGGGTGACACACACACACACACACCTGGCTGCTGTTCAGGTGTCACATAACATCTCACAGGGCCTGTTGAGGTGAAGAAGGAAAGGTGGGGCCTCCAATTTAGAAGGTCCATCTAAGTGATGATTCTAGAGAATAACCTTTTGATCTGACCTTCGACAGAGTCTTCTTAACGGATTTGAAGCATTCCTCCTGCTTGACGCCACCACGACTGTTTTGGTGTGAATGCATTGAACCTGAACCTAACACTGCTGTGGTTCTGTGGGTCCCCCGACTTCTCCCCGCTCCCCGCAAGCCACTTCGGAAGGATGCTTCCGGCACCACGTTGGGGCGCTCGTCTCGTCTAAGCAGGCCAAGGCTGGGAGCCCTCAGCACCGCGCCCACGCCCCCCCCGGTACCTCAATGATCTCCAGCATTTCCAAGCGGGTGATCTTGCCGTCTCCGTCCAGGTCATACATCTCAAAGGCCCAGTTCAACTTCTGCTCAAAGCTTCCCCTGGACGTCACGGAGAGGGCGCAGATAAACTCCCGGAAGTCAATGGTGCCGTCGCCGTTCTTGTCAAAGGTGCGGAAAGCATGTTGCGCGAACTTGGACGCGTCTCCGTAAGGGAAAAACTGCCAGAGGGGAGGGAGGGGTGGTGGGAAAGAGGGTGTAAGCAAAGCCCAGAGGCAGCAACAGCAGGCGGCAGAGGCCAACGGTCGCCATGTCCGAGCACCTTGTGTCTTGCCTCTGAGGCTTCTGCGGGTGAACCCTGGAGGGAGAAGCTCCACCTGTAACCTCTGCAGGTGCCAGGCGACTTCTGCCCGAGGGAGAGCAGGAAACCCGATTGAAGAGCAAGACCAGCTCTCCCGGAGGGTCCCAGGAGAGGGGAAGAAACCTCAGAGCAGCTGAAGGACTCTGGCAGTCCTCAGAGGCTACAAAAATTGTGTGCGTGTATATGTGTGCTGGGGCATGCGTCATCCTTCTCTGCTCCAGTGTACGCCTGTCTTTTGTCCCACTGAGTGGTCTTTCATCTCTTGGTGGACTGGGAGGGAGGCAGACCCCAGCGCTGGTCTGAATGGGCGGCATGGGTCGGGGGGAGGCCCTCTGAAGTGGAGCCACTCAGCCTTCCCCTGCGGGCTCCCTCCCACCCCCACCCCCTCAACGTACCTTGATGTAGAGCTGCTGGAATTCATCCAGGTTGAGGATCCCCGTGGGGCAGTCCTTCAGGAAGCCTTTGTACCACTGCTTCAGCTCCTGCTCGTTGAATTCCGTGTTCCTCACCAGGTCGTCCAGCATCTCGGGAGCCAGCTTGCTGTTGTGCTTGCCCATGGCTGGTTCTGGGGAAGAGGGTCACGTCAGCAACAGGAAAAGGCCTCGGCCCCCCCTCACGGCAGCGGCGGTTGCCACATGTTCAGGGCTGCTTGCTTTGTCTCCCCTTCACCTCCCCCACCCCCCCCAGCTCTGGCTTCAGGGACGTTGCTCACCTCAGCCGGACGTTTTCCCAGGGCAGCAGCCAGCCTGCGAAAAAGCTCCGATAAAAAACACAGGCCGCCTCTCCCTTGGACGAAAATCCGCTGCAGAAACGAAGGAGGCAAAACAAAACAAAAAGGGTGTTTGTACTGCAGGAGGTTCCTCTTGATAGATCTAGCAGGTCGGCAAAACCATTCACAGGAGTGGCGATGGCATTTTTTCTCATTTAGTTATAGGTTGCAGAGAGACAGGCGGGGGGCTGGCAGGAGCCTGCTGGGATGGGCGAGGGGCAGATAAAAGTGCCCTGTCTTGCCCACCCAGAACCCTCGAATCTGACCCATCTATGGGACCTCAAACGCAAAAGACAGGAGAAGGAGAGAGGAGGGGAGATTTCCCCCTCCAGATACCTTGTCAACAACAACAGCAAACCAAGCCCCCACACAGCCTCTCGCTTCTTTCAACTCCCCGGCTGACAATGTTATGAACACCAGCCTTTTTTTCTCTAGAAATCTGCCAGGAGACGTATTAAGATGTGAGGTATCAGGAAAGCGTGGCTTCACACCAACAGGGAAATCCATCCATGCGCACCCTAAGAGGTACCTGACCCCCCCAGCCCTTTTGCCATACCCACAATGATCATTAAATGCCTTCAAGCAGATTTCTGGTGACCCTTTCCAGGGTTTTCCAGGCAGAGAGCGCTCAGAGGAGGTTGACCCTTCCCTTCTTCTTCTGGGGACGCTTCTGGGGCTGGGCAGAGACACAGGCTGGCTCGTCCCCCAGAAGGCACTGTGGGGAATCAAACTTCTGCTCTTTGGCTCTTTAGTCAAGGGCCCGAGTACATAAACCTGTGGATTAAATGTTGTTTTCCAGTGTGCCGGATGAAACAGATTGTAATCCATGAAACCTTACCCAGCAGCAGACTTGTTCAGCGTAAGGCACTGAAGTTCTTTCTGTTTCTGTTTCTGTTGTTGTGGAGACAGACTGCGGCTGTTCACCTCTCCGGTCACTGCAGATCTGTTGACAACTAAGAACGCAGCCTGCTTATTTAACTTATATGCAGAATACATCATGTGAAAGGCAGGACTGGATTAATCCCAAACCAGAATTAAGATTGCCAGAAGAAATATCAACAACCTCCGATATGCAGATGATGCCACTCTAATGGCAGAAAGTGAGCAGGAATTAAGGAACCTCGTAATGAGGGTGAAAGAGAAGAGTGCAAAAAAAAAAAATGGTCTGAAGCTCAACATCAAAAAACCCTAAGATCATGACCACTGGTCCCATCGCCTCCTGGCAAATAGAAGATATGGAGGCAGTGACAAATTTTACTTTCTTGGGCTCCATGATCACTGCAGATGGAGACAGCAGCCACAAAATTAAAAGACGCCTGCTTCTTGGGAGGAAAGTGATGACAAACCTAGACAGCATCTTAAAAAGCAGAGACATTACCTTGCCGACAAAGGTCCGCATAGTCAAAGCTACAGTTTTTCCAGTAGTGATGTACAGAAGTGAGAGCTGGACCATAAAGAAGGCTGACCACCAAAGAACTGATGCTTTTGAATTGTGTTGCTGGAGGAGACTCTTGAGAGTCCCCTGGACTGCAAAGAGAACAAACCCATCCATTTTGAAGGAAATCAACCCTGAGTGCTCACTGGAAGGACAGATCCAGAAGCCGAGGCTCCAAGACTTTGGCCATCTCATGAGAAGAGAAGACTCACCTGGAGAAGACCGTGATGTTGGGAAAATGTGAAGCCAAGAGGAGAAGGGGACAACAGAGGATGAGATGGTTGGACAATGTCATTGAAGTGACCAACATGACTTTGACCCAACTCCGTGAGGCAGTGGAAGACAGGAGGGCCTGGCGTGCTCTGGTCCATATGGGGTCACGAAGAGTTGGACACGACTTAATGACTAAACAACAACAACAACACAGCCTAGGAACACTTCACACAGAGCAGAAGAGCCAGGGCCTTGGGACATGTGGAAGGGGGAAAAACAACAACAAACATCAGGAGTTCTGGGGATGTGCAAAAGGCATCACACCAACACTGAGTCAGCGTAGCTCAAGCCAACCACCTCTGGAACTACATGCACAGCTGGACAAGAAGAGCAACAGGAGATTTTGTTTGGGTTTTGCATGGTGTTTTAACACAGCCACCCAGGAAGGGAACATATGGACCTGGCTGGTGCATTTCAGGTAGAGATGGGCACGAATTAAAAAATGAATTCACAAACTCATTTTAAAAAATCATTAATTCAGCAATTCATATTCGTACAAGTCAATGTCCCAAAGAATACGAAGCAATACATTTTAAACAATTTTGACTTGCTATAAAATAGCCCCCTAGGCATGAAGAGACACAAATATTGCAGAGAAGTTTCCTCTGGCTCTCCTCTACAATTCCCCGAAGATTAGTGAAGATGGGGTTTCAAGTGTCTGAGTTATACACCCACAAAGAGACACACCCCCAGGAAAGTTCCCCCAGGCAGCTAGAGGCACCAAAATTGCAGAGAGGCTTCCCCTGACTCTCCTCTATAATCCCTCCAAGTTTGGTGAAGACTGGGTTTCCCCAAGGCAACTGCTAAAGGGCACTTTCCTGGGGGGACCCAATTCATGGGTGTATAATTTGGAAGTCTGAAATCCAAACTTCACCAAAGTTGCAGAGCCTGTAGAGGAGACTCAGAGGAAGCAACCTTGTAAATTTGGTATCTCTAGGTGCCTGGAAGGGCTGTTTTATATTGTTTTAAATTTTTTTAAAAAATGAATTGACAAATCAATTTGTCATTTTTTAAAAATGAATTGACAAATCAATTTGTCCACTCGTCAGAAAAAAAATGCAAATTCGTAATTCGTGATTCATCGACCTTGATGAATCACAAATACAAACAAACCAACATGTTTCTGATTTGTGCCCATCTCTAAATTCAGCTTAAGCATGAAGGAAAGGGGTTCGTTTCATCCTTTTCTACCACTTCTCCGGCATGGAATTCCTTCCCTGCTCCCAGTCTATCAAAGCTGGGAAACCTAGCAATGCCAGGGGCTTTCTCAAGAGTGCTTTGCAAATGGTCTCTGTAGTTCATCGTTTCCCATACTGTACCTCTCAGCTTGAGCGTAATCGCTGCTAGCTGGACTCCTTCTGTTTCATCCCCCCCACCCTCACTGCAATCACGTTCTCCCTCTCCTCCCCACCCACATCCTAGGTATATTAATATCTTCTTCCAACGGAGGATGATGTTTCATGATGATTCATCTGAGGGGGGGGAGGCAAGGCTGCAGCTCTTGAGTCGCTTCTGCCCCAAGAGATGGATGTAGCTGCTCTTTTGGAAAAAAAGGCTTGTTATACATGAGGGCTTGCGTTGCGAAGGTGGCCAGGGCACAGAGCGTGATCCCAAGGCAAGCCACCCCTCGGCCCCCACAGCGGCTGGTAATGGGAAAAGTGGATGTCCTGGGATCTACTCCCAAATCTTTGCACTTGACATTTGGTCCAGTGTCTGTTTTTAACTCTGCAGGACCTCTGGGTGCCCCCTTGCTCAGCTTCTCCATCTCCTGGGCCTCTGGAATTCCTATTGTAGGGGTTAAACATCAGCCAAATGAACCCCTTTCCCTTCTTGTACAAAAGCTGGCTAAAAATGGTGTGTGTGTGTGTGTGTGTGTGTGTGTGTGTGTGTGTGTGTGTGTGTGTGTGTGTGTGTGTGTGTGTGTGTGTGTGTGTGTGTGTGCGCGCGCGCGCGCGCCATACAGACACATCCTGTGTGCGTGCGCGCGTGTGTGTGTGTGTGCGCGCGCGCGCGCGCATGCACGATCCGGGTTTAATCTCAGGTAGCTGGCTCAAGGCTGACTCGGCTTTCCATCCTTCTGAGGTTGGCAAACTGTGCACCCAGTTTGCTTGGGGGTGGGCAGGCCACGTGCAGCTTGCATAATGAAATTGTAGACCAGTCAGAGAGTGCTTTAAGCACCATGGGGTGGTATATAAGCAGCATGCTTTATAGGCTATCAAGTCATTTTGCGACTTAGATTGACCTTATGAAGTGATGACCCTTAACAGCCCTGCTCGGTTCTGGTAGAGGCAGAGATCCAGCTTCCTTCCTTGAGTCAAGCTGTCACATCACAACCTTGTTCTTCACTCACACAAAGGTACTCTTGAGCATTGTTTCTACCGCCTTTGTGGCTGCCCTTCCAACCCAAATCCCCTTTGGATTTCTTGGCTACCGTCTCCATTTCAGGCAACCACGGCATCAAAAATCTCTTAACAATTTCAACATCTTGATTGTCTAAAATCTTGTAATTATTCCATAGTCACGATTTCTGTCTTCTTAATTTCCCAGCATAATCCTCCTTTGGCATTTTCTTCCATAACCTTCATCCATAACAGCTTCCAACGAGCCCTCCTTATTCTGGATCTCTCCCCCTCCTATAAAACTTCAGAGGCTGCATTTTGTTACATGCAAGAGATGAATACTGTACTTTGCCACCCGTCAGTCGGAGCTCCCACACACCTTGGCATTTTCCTGGTGATTAAACCAGAGAGGCAGATGGCTGGCAGGAAAGCAGAGCATGATGCTCTTTCAGAGTGCCTTCACAAGACGGGCATGGGAAAGCTTCTTAGCTCAGAACGGTCCCTTCCTGCTGAGACCCGTGCTCTTGTGACAAGCCTAACCTTTCACATATGGACAGCCGCAGCACAACCCTGTACAGCTTCACTCACAAGCAAGACCACTGGGCTCACTCTCAGGTGGGCAGGGATCCGATGGCAGGCGCGGGGTCTCCTGCAAATGCCCACAGGGCAGTGCCACCTTAAGCATAAGGAGAGCGTGTCTTGTTTTCTCCTGGCCCGACTCCAGACTTTGGTGTAAGCTAGGAAATCCCAGCCCATTGACAGAGATCAGGTCACCTGATGACCCCCTTGCAGTTTCCCCCATG